TTGGGTGTTTCCCTTTAAACTGGCAAAGTTTCATTGAAATCGGTGAGATGGCTTGTGCCACCCCCGCCTGGTCCTATCGTGGATGCACTCTTAAATTCTCATCTAAAATTGTGCTTTTATGAAAGGAAATTCCAATAAGAAGCCTGCATTATTAGTATACTGACTCCAAAACACCCAAAACAATACACCAAAGTGGCAGGATGTCACAGATTTCTCTTTGGTGCCAATACGAACAATTATAACCTCAAGTAGGTACCATAAATGTGCTCTTATGCTCCTGTGTTGTCATTTAACTGATTTTAGAATATGTTCATTTTCCTGCAGTAACAAACGACAGGAAGAATGAATGCCATTTTGTGTTTATCTGCAGGTCTAAGTTTAAAATCTAACTTGTTGTCCTGGAAAAGATGTATGGTAATGGGATGCAGCTCATTACAACAACTGTCCCTCATGTGCACGACAACAGTTCAGCTCACTTAATTTATCCTGAGACAAATGCGTGAATCTACAACTTAAATGTTACATCTCTGCAATATTAATACGAACACATTAATTTGAATGCGCAACTAAATAACAAATGAGGTTCATTGCTTCATTACACAACATGAGTAAGTAGAATTTATACTACATAAGTAACCACCAGGAATGTCAGTGCTCCAGTTGTAATGATTTCCTTGTCCATATCTTTTTATAGTTTACAGCAGAGTACATGGAAAGTCTCCTCTCTCCTCATCAAATATATCAAGACCTTAAGTCAAAGCCTCTCTTGATGCTGTCCCAAGCGTGTCCTAGCACATGAAGCAACATCCCTCAATAATTCAGTCTGATCTTGTTAGCAGATTCAAAGAAGGTGACTATGTTGGGAAACCAGGCTGACTCCAGCGCTCTCTTCACTAACGCAGAGCCGCCGTGCCTCAATCCATCCCTTCTGTTGCTAATGAACTGTTACCCATGACTTCCCACCTCCAACAAACACAGGAGGTTAAAAAAAAAAAAAAAGTGGGGCGCGAAATTGGAGGAAATGAGAAAGGATGAGTGAGGAGAGGTTAGATTATTATGGGATATTTGAATGGCTGTGTGGTTCAACATGTGCTCTAAAACACTAGTGTGTGTACACAGGAATGTGTGTTTCTCATTCAGGAGAACCATCTGCCACTCTCCTCTGAGTGAAGTGTGAAAGCGAGCACCTGGCTGTGAGTCAGCGTTGCACAGCTCCCCAGAGAGCCTTCAGTTTAGAAAGCACTTAATACCCAGCCTCTCGCTACACGCTCCAGTAAGAACACCGCGATGGAGAGGAATAATGAAGCTTTTTGGACGGTGCAGCAGTGCGATTTTTGCAGTCCCACACGAATGCACACCTTACAAGTGAGCTGTTGAGTGATGAGCTGTTGCCAAAGAGTGGGATAAACAGTGGGAGCCATTTAGGCATTCAGTGATGCTAGCTGCTAAACTCAGAGAACAAGATGAAGATTTGTTAACTTTTAAGCTTAAAGTCTTGAAATATACGTACCATTATAAAAACCTGTCTCGTTTACAAATGTAATACTTACTGCTTCAGAACACTCCAAATAAATTATAATACTTCACTTTCTTTTGCGTTAAGTATGAAAAACAAGTTTATTTACTCGTCTCTTTTCCTTCTAATGTATTATGAAGTAAACACGGCCTATTTGTGAAATGGTTTATAACTGTCACTCTGCCCTGCTTAAGTGTCCTTGAGCAAGATATTAAATGCTCTCCAGTTCGAGGGCAGCTGTTTGGTTGCTAAATTTTCACCCTGAACGCTCCAATGACAGGGTGCTGGAAGACAATATCTCTGCAGGAATCAATAATGCCACATTTGCATGCCCACCAGGCTCAAGGTAGGGCCATGGTTGATCAAAACAAAAGGAATCAACTGTTGTCTAATGGTGTTTTAACAGCTGGAGTCATCCTGCCATTCTACGTTTAATGAAGACCAGTGCAGAGCAGACACAGTCTTAGACTACCACTGTTCTTGCAGGTTATAACTCTGCACTTATACATAATGAGGCAGCAGCGATCTCACCAGGGACACACACACATGGATGCCCACACACACATTCACAGAGAAAGTCCAGAAGTTGTTGAGGCACCTCTCTACGCTGTGCTCATTAGTGACACTGTTATCCCTGCAGCATCTACCTACAGTACCACAGGCTGTTCCCACTGATTCTCACCACATATAATACATGGAAAAGAAACAGGCAGCTCAGCCTCTCTCCTGTATCCCCGCTGCTTTCTGCAGCTCTCTAATCAGCACCAAAAAAAATAATAAAAAAAAGCCAACATCAGTTCCACTCACCCATTCAAGTTGCTGAGCGATTTGCATAAGTGATCTTAACAGAAGATGCTGCTGTTCAGTCAGGGCTGTAATTTATCCATTGTCCAACTAAAAGGAGTTAGTAACATTTAAATGCATGACCGAAGTTATTTGACAGGATGGAAATGATACAGTGCGGTGGAAAAGTATTTGCCTTCTCCAGATAGCTTCCATATTTGCATAGTTGTCCCACTTAAATGTTTCTGATCATCAAACTCATTTTCATATAAGAAAAAAAGATAAAGCGCAAATTGCAGTTTTTAAATGATTCCATTTATTAAAGAAAAAATACTGTCCAGCCCCATCATGTTCTATGTGAAAAAGTAATTGCTCCTTTAGCTACCAGTCTACCGAATGACCAAATTCATTTGGCAGTTGTGTTCAATTTCACCAGCCACACTCACATATGAACACTGCCAGGCTTGTTGAATCTAAAAATCACCTAAAGAGAACCTGTCTGGTGCTGTGAAGTAGCTAAAGGGAATCAAAAAGTAGCACATGATGCCACGTTTTGAAGAGATTCAAGAAATCAGATGAGAAACAAAGTCATTGACAGTCATTAGTCTAGAAAGGGTTACAAAGCCATTGCTAAGGCTTCGGGAGTCTAGAGAACCACAGTGAGAGTCATTATCTGCAAATGGAGAAACATGAGCAGTGGTGAACCTTCCCAGGAGTGGCTGGTTGTTCAAACTGTCTCCAAGAGCACATCAACATCTCATCCAGGAGAAACCAGAAGAAGTGCAAACCTCACTGGCCTCAGTTAAGGTCAGTGTACACGATTCCACAATAAGGAAGACACCGGGCAGAAATGTCATCTATGGGAGAGATGCAAGCTGTAAACCACTCCTGACCAAAAAGAACATAAAGGCTCATGTGGCTTTTGTCAAAACAATATCTAGATGAGCCCCAAGACCTTTAGTACAACATCCTGAGGACTGATGAGTCAAAGGTGGAACTCTTTACACTGGAACCCTCGTAAAGCTGCAGTACTGATACTTCTGTCATGTTCTCAAGCATGACAATGAAAGCACACAAGCAAGTCCACCTCTGAATGGCTCAAAAAGAACAAGATTAAGGTTCTGGAGTGTCAGAGTCCAGACTTGAATCTAATTGAGATGCTGTGGCAAGACCTTAAAAGGGCAGTGCAAGCTCGAATGCCATCTAATGTGGCCAAATTAAAACTATTTTGGAGAGAGGAGTGGGTGACGTGAAAGACCGATCATAAGCTGTCACAAACATATAACTGCAGTTGTTGCTGCCAAGAGTGACCCAACCAGTTCCTAGGTTGAGGAGGTGATACAGGTTTTCAATAAATCCTGAATAAATCATCATTTAAAAACTGCATTCTGAATTTTGTGGTTTATCTCTGTCTAATATCAAATAAATATAAATATTAGGTTGATGATCTGGAACATTAAAGTGTGAGAAATATGCAACAATATAAGACATCAGGAAGGGGGCAAATACTTTTTCACAGCACTGTAAATTTTGGTGTGATTTCCATAAAATGAGCAGCATGTCAGTGGGAAACTTGTAATGACAACGAGCAGCCAGTACAGCGGTTTTGGAGTTTGAGCTCCCTCTTCCTCTCCATATGCCCCCTGCCTGTGTCAGTCACTGTTAGCCCTCATCAGCGGCTCGGCTCAGCACTGATGTTTGACACAGCATGGCTGAGTCACACTGGCAGCCGAAGGCAACACAGAGGCAATGTGTGCCAGCCTGGGATGGGTAAGGGGAGGCTACACAGTTGCATCACTTGCACACAATGAGACAATAGTCCTTAGTAAGACATCAGCACTCAAGTTAAGGGATCTGACGGCTCACTATCAACATCATTACTTAAACAGTTTTGACATCTCTGTGAGAATCTGTTCTGGCTAAAAAAAAAAACATTGACACAGTAAGTTACACTGATTTGTGACTATACATTTAATCTGTACATTGTTATTATAGTATCTCATGCCACAAAGGTGAGAATCTTACCAATCGGCAAGTGGCAGACCCGTTCCTTTAGAAGTTGAAAATTGAAACAGCTCAATGAGTCACTACACAGAAAATAATCAGCAAGTTTGATAATCGAAAGTTAATGAGGTAACCAAAAATGTCAGCTATGTACAGGTCGCAGCCTTTCAAACCACAATGGTATGCTTTTCTCTGTTGATCACGGCACACTGACTGACTTTTGGATTACTGATTGGGCACAACACAATAACTTCAAAGATATTTGAACAATAACCAAGACTTTCAGAACTTTAAATGGGCATTTCCGAACTTTTTTGTAAATTTTTCATGGACTAAGTGATTGATTATATTTAGATATAAATAATAATTAGTCCTAGTTATTTGTTTAGATTAACTGTTAATCCAAATTCACTTTGTGGCCCATCCTCTGGGGTCTAGGTTTATTTGGGAAAGACTGCGTTTGTTCATTTTAAACGATAACTCCCCACATTCAAAGTACCAATTTTCTCAGCATAAACTGAGCTCTATATTTGACATCTAGTGTGTATAAAGCTGCAAGGAACCTAAAATGCAGGAAAAGAAATGGCCGGCAGTGATAAAAACGGATAAATCATTACTCAAGTTACTATTATCAAACACTTAAAGGTTGGAAAAACTATGGTTTCATGCCAATTACACACAAACACAACAGAGATAATTCAGTTATAAATCTATCGTATTTTCAAGTATAAAGTTGTGTTATCCACACCTCTTTTGTACCCTCTGTATACACCTGTAAATCACTGAAAATATGATAATTCACACCTTTAACATTTTTATTCAAAAAAAAAAAAAGGTTAAATAAACAAGACTTGAATAAATGTGCTCAGATAAGCTCCGCTCGACACATAAACAACACTTTTAGTATTTCTTTTTTTGTTCACGTCTACTGTAAGTGTTGTAACTCAAGATCAACACAAATCTTCCCATGGATTCCCGTCGCACATACAGTCGGTGCTCCCCTCACCACTTCCAGCTGGGGGCAGCAGGGAGCTCACCTTGAAGCCGATGTCTCCCTTCTTGCAGCAGAGGCAGGCCAGCATGAGGAAGACGAAGGTGAAGAGGCCAGAGAAGGAGACGGCTACCACTGCCAGAGATGAAGGCCAAGACAGCTCGCTCAGCGGAGCCCCATCTGCAACATCAGAAGACAGCCCCAGTGTTAAAAGGGTGGAACCGCACGGAGATCAGGTGGCAAACTGTAGGGCTATACAGGAAATTAAAAACAAAATAGAGATGAAGGTGATTTGTACACACGCAAATGAATAGTGATTGTTTCATTGGCAGCTTAATGGAAGAGGCATGACTGGTCATTAGTATTCTTTTCTATTTCATATCCATCTTTAGAGTCTGAATAGGAAGACGGCCACCGTAGCTTAATTACAGAAGTTACTATGCACTCTGAGTCATAAAAGCTAAAAGTCTGAAACCACCCACAAACACAATTACCGCCTGATAATTTAATAAACAGAGGCAGAGTAGGTGTAGTGGCTCATTCTGTTCCTGCGTAAACAACCGTGATGAATGAGAACGCGTACCATGAATACATAATATGTTTGACAAAATCACCATCAAAGCATGTTTGCAACTCAAAATGTTACCCAAAATGCATTTCATTAAAGAAACGGCAGGACAAATTGCACACAATGAGGCATAAATGCATTTGAATGCAGTACATTCTGATAAAGCTCTGACGCACAGTTTAATGTTTTTTTTTTTTTTTTTGAGCCTGTGATGAATATACAGAAAGTGCACACATGTTCACATCTTTTGTGCACGTTATTAACAATCTGTCAGTGTCTTCCTGTGTGCATATGTGCAGCACATATGTGTCAGTTTGTCTTTTAGCCTGTATTAACTTAGAAGAGGCCAGAGGGCCAGATGTCAGAGTTTGGAGCACCTATGTATAATCAGATTTACAGTTTTAAACCTCCTGCCAGCACAGATGGAGGAGAAGAGAAAAGAAAAGAGAGAGAGAGAGACAGACAGATGGAAAGAGAGACAGAGTGGAGATTAAAATAAATTGTGGGAAAGCTGCAATGACACAATCATGCAGGCACAAAATATCAGTAATTGTTTCTATATCAGTCAAAACCTTTATTTAAACACATTCAATAAATAAACTATCCCTTCACAACTTTTTTTTTATTTTTATCAATATCAACATCCAGACACTCTAACCAAACATTTGTACACCTCAAACAGCACATGAGGGACCTGCCCTCAGTCAATTAAATATCAGACACTCAGTGGAGGTGATTTTATTACCACTTAACCACTGCCTGCCTCAGCAGTCTGTTGGGAGTACTGAGGAGAGCTCTACTGTAGTTTCCATTTCACCGGACATCTCAGCAGAAAGCTTGACGTCCTGTCCATGGCCTTCAGCCATATTTAATGACTTTAATGTGTTATTTAGTTTTCAATTCATGTATTATTTAGGGTGTCTTTCTGTTCAGTATTAGTCCCGCCATACTTTTTACTCAATGTATGACACTAAAGAGCTCCCTATTAACATTTTCAATCAGGAACAGATCATTCATCATTTATTCGTAAAGCTTCCCTCGAGAATATTTCAATTAAAGGGGCATTCGAGCAATTGAGTAATAATCTTCATGTACTCTAGATGCTGCGATATCTTGACTTTTACTCCCTAGTTTGGCTTCAAGAAACGCTGAATTCTAAAATATACACAAATCACCTTAACAGCAACTTTTGCTGGAGCCATCCCCAAACCCAAACATCTGCCTGATGAATACAATAGTCTTACAAACCCTGTGTTGCCCTGTATTACCAGCTTTCCTTTTAGATTGCAAATCCATTAGTTCTAATTTTCAATTTTGTTTATATCAACATTATTTATGCATCTCTGTTCTTAGTTCGGGCTGCAGGGTGGCGCAGTTGGTAGCACTGTTGCCTCGCAGCAAGAAGGTTGCCGGTTTGCGTCCCGGTGGGGGCACCGGGATCTTTCTGCGTGGAGTTTGCATGTTCTCCCCGTGCAGCGTGGGTTCTCTCCGGGTTCTCCGGCTACCTCCCACACAGTCCAAAAACATGTTGAGGTTAATTGGTGATTCTAAATTGTCCGTAGGTGTGAATGTGAGTGTTCTTGGTTGTCTGTCTCTCAGTGTGACCCTGCGATGGACTGGTGACCTGTCCAGGGTGTCCCCTGCCTTAAGTCGGCTGGGATAGTCTCCAGCCCCCTGCGACCCTAATGAGGATTAAGCGGTGTATAGATAATGGATGGATGGATGGATGTTCTTAGTTCTCACATCTAGCAGTTTTTTTTTCTTCTTTTTTAACAACAAATATTTGTGTAAATTACCATAAAATAACAAATAAAACTAAACAGACAGCATGTGTACTTTTAAAATGTACCTGGCCTGCTAACTGAACAGAAATTAATATGTAAAACATTTTACCATGTTCCCACAGGTGTTATAAACTGGAAAAACAATGTAACTGTACATACTATACATACTTTATGACTTACTTTTTTGTATTTTTTTTGGATACGTATTTCCTGTCTGCTCTGTAAACACTGTCTGCAGTTCAGCCCAGTTCAGCAGAAAAATCCATGAATGCATGTCCTTTGACTGTTACACTGGCACTCGAGGGTGTAAAATGTGTTTGTTTTTGGAAAATGTAGAAATGAGACATGTATAATAAAGTGGCTGTGACTACATATCGGTTTCAAGCTCACATTTGGTGGAGTTCTATGACAAAATGACCAAACACAGTCTATTCTTTCAGTTTTGCAGTTTCTGACAAATGGTGTAAACAAAGGATTGGCATATGTCCTTATTTAAGGATTTTCTTCATTTCAACATGAGGACAACACACACACACACACACACACACACACACACACACAAGCATGGCGCTCCAGTGCTGACTGGGGCTACTAAAGTCTGTGATACTTGTGTGTCCTTTTTGACAGAGACCCAGCGGTCCTGACCCATTTGGCTACAGAGAACACACTGTTCCGGACCGGGCAGCTTCCACAGCCCAAACAGCACCACTCCATCCAAATGTCGACCCCGAGGTTACAGCCATGAAGTCTGTTACATCCTACATTTGAATAAACATGGGTGGACAATGCAAACAGACAGGCGCAGGTTATTACTTGAAGCCTGGCTTAAGAGCTGCAGCGTGTGAGCGTATATGTGTGGGCACTGACCCGCCGACACATCTCCATGGCAACATCCAGATGACCGACACATATTCCTTGATTGGCTTTTACAGCGTTGAAGGCCTCGTGCCCCTCCTCTTCCTTCATCACGACAGCATGCGTTTTTGCTGATGCCTTGTCCGCTTGCCCTCTCTCATCTATTTCCCTGTATTATGCAGTGACAGCTTGTGTGTGTGTGTGTGTGTGTGTGTTTCAGTATGTGAGAGTGCTTGTGAAGTGGAAAAGAAGGCGGTTACAAAACTAAACCAAGCAGCGCCCTTTCTGGATCCAGCACATACCACAACACTCAGCTGAGTGGGTGGTGACAGGATACACTGTGTGGAGGTTGTTAGGGAAATGGGGATGATGCTTGAAACGCCCTCAAATGGCACCATTCACAGAGCCCTTAAGTATCAAGCAGCTAAGAATGACAAGAAAATGCAACCCTTTTCTGTGCCGTTATAATAAATAACTCAAAATTCTCAAAGAGCCTTCAGCTGTAACTGTGTCATTCTGTTATTCATTGCATTTTTTAGTATTTTTAAGTATTGTATGTTAGACCTACAGATGTATAGCTGGCTGGATGGATGGATGGATGTGAGGAAAGAGGAGGGAATCTAGAGGGAGCAAACTGTGCAGATGGTGCCATAAACAGCAGCGATACATGCTGAATCAGAGGGCATGGTGACTCAGGGCTCGCCGAAGGACACAGTAAAAAAAAAAAACAGACATACATATATTGTAATTTCTGAAGGAGTTGGCTGTCACCATCATGTACAAGGCCCAGGACTGATCAACTGCTCTTGTTCCGGCATGCCATCAACAAACAACAGTCTCTTCTGCAGTGACACAATAATAGAATAATACACAGGACTATTTAGATAGGAAGACTTTTCACCTTTCTACTTCCTACACAGTTGGTCACATTCCCACAACAAAATCTTACCACTATGACAAGCCATCCACCTTGAAAATTATCTAGCTTCAGCGTTTGTAAGTAGCAATTTTTAGGACTCTACCAGCACCAGCTAAGCAGAGCAGTCGACCAACTAGTGACCCTTTCACAGAAAATGAAGGAATTATGGAAATTGGCAGTCAGCTCTAACTTAATTTTGTCTATTAGGAGAAGGTTTCTAGTTTCCTATGGAACTAGAAAAAGGGGCACGTTTGTCCTTTCCTCATTCAAAGCAAGAGCTGTGTGTTTGCATGAATAAGATCCACATGTACACTGGACTCCAATGAGGCTGTGCTTTGCCACCACACCAATTTGTGGCTCTAGAGAGGTTTGGTAACAATGTGGGGGAAAATCTGTTATTTGCCTGAAGATCAGCATTTGAAGTGGGTATTCAGGCTGAAGAAAACAGAATTTAAAAAAGGAGAAGAATTGGTAAATGGGGGGCGGGCCGCTCTCAGGTACCAGTGAGTCCATGAAATACCCTATCCAGGAAGTTCAGCTTAAGTAAAAAGAGTTTGGAGGTTTATGAGATGCTTTAATTCTTCAGCATTCTTTAATGTACTACAAGGAGTTTTTTTCTAACTCTGGAAAGTTACTACAGCTGTAATGCAACGCCATAAAAAGTCCCCATGAAATGAATACGGGGGGAAGGGCTGTGTTTTTTCAAGCAACGCTTTTGGATGTCGGTAACTGTGTCCTTGACAATTTCAAATGATTAAGACAAAAAAGATACTTATTCTACTAGAGACAAACCAACTGCCTGAGGAACCAGAGTTTTTTGGGGGTTTTTTTCAGATACTTAATAATAAATAATGTTAAAATTAAATGCAGATATAATTCCAGTAATTCCAGGAGAGAACTGAGACAGAAGGTAAAGCTTAGGGCTTACTGGTCAACCGCCTTTTCAAGCCGTTCCCACAGCCATAAGCTTTGGGTATCAATTTGTGTAGAAACTGCAAGTACAAGCAGCTGAGATGATGTTTTTTTTCCAGAGATTCTGACCTCAAGCTACTGC